AACAGATAACACTGCAACTTTCAACATTCGTAGTTTGATGAAAGTTTTTTCGGTGGGATTTCATAACATTGAGACGTTGGGATATTTCACCCTTTTCTCTTTTTTCATAATTCACTTTTTGAAGACAATGTCATTTTGTTAAAGCCACAAAACTGGTTTGCCCGCTATTTTGATAATGAGGAAGTGACTGATAATGTCAGTTTGTATGTGGCCCATCAGATTTGATTTATCAGTGTCAATGCGTTTGTTTGTTTTCTAGCTATCGTAACCTCTCTGTTATCTATTACCTATTATCTATTATCGTCTGTTATCTATTACCTATTATCTATTATCGTCTGTTATCTATTACCTATTATCTATTATCGTCTGTTATCGCTCATATGCTAACCCTAGAGTCCAGGAAGGCATTTCACAGTATAAGTTCGTTGTAGTTTGTTTGGATTGCTTTTCTCAAAATAAGATTTGAAAATATTTTTTTAAAAAAAAGCAAAACTAACACAGCGACACAATCTGACATGAAGTGTCCTATGAAATATGATTTTTTCCGACTGTAGACAACATATTACCTGTTTTCTTTGGAACCTAGCTATTTAGCGGAAGAAGTTTAAATATGTACAAGAGAGGCAACACTCGGATGTACACGTCGGTCATCAGTCTTGGATGACGGCAACGTTTCAAAACGGTACACACTCGGATGTACACGTCGGTCAGCCTTCTTAGAACATTTTTAAAAACTGTTAAAATAGTGATGAATGTAGTAGATGCTACTTAATCTCGTGATTAATTTCTTTCACTGTTGTCTAATTCAAAATAATGGTCACTAAGGATATTGAAGCGCAGAGTATCTGGTTTACATGGTTACAGGGACGGTGGGATAGCACAATGGTTAAAGCGTTCGCTCGTCACGCCGAAGACCCGGGTTCGATTCTCCACATGGGCACACTGTGTTAAGCCTATTTCTGGTGTCCCCCGCTGTAATATTGCTAAAAGCGGCGTAAAACTAAATTCACTCACGACTTAATTACATGTACTGTAGTCAAATTCAACTCCCCTCCTCGCATTTGGTTGATCGGTGAACATCCGGGTTAGAATGAACCTTCAGTAACCCATGCTTGTCGTAAGAGGCGACTAACGGGATCGGGTGGTCAGGCTCACTGACTTGGTTGGTACATGTCATCGTATCCCCACTGCTTAGATCGCTGCTCATGCTTTTGATAACTGAATTGTCTGTTCCAGACTCGATTATTTACAGACCCCCGCCATATAGGTGGAATATTGCTGAGTGCGGCGTAAGACTGAACTCACTCACTCACTCGCATTGGGTTGTTTTAAGGAACCTCTTTTCTTTTTGGTGTTTTTTATATTAATACATATGGTGAAAAAAGAAAATTCATCAGTGAATATTGGGTAAATAAACTTCCCTGACGCTTAAGAAGTACGCATTGTATACGGTGATCAAGGAAGTAAAATAGGTTCAGTGTTATGAAATCCCCCGCGGCTATCTATCTAATGACGAAGTTTCTTCAAACTACGAATGCTAATGACGCGCATCCTGTTTGTCCGATTGTGCTGATGGCGTTAAGGACATGAATGGAAAGGCGCATTATTCTAACACTTGTCATAAATCTTCAGAGATAGTTCAACATACTCGGAAACGACCACTGTGTCTGAAAGTAAACAGATTTTAGTCATGAATTCAGAACGTTTCCTACGCATATATTACTTTAAGTCGATACGCATGCCTCCCCGCAAAACCTTCAATGTCTTTCACCAAGCAGCGAAAGGGTACCCGGTAGGATCACATGGTATTGTGAAAGTAGGACCGGCTGTAGCTTTGTGGTTAAAGCTTTCGCTCGTCACGCCAAACACCCGGGTACGATACCCCACATGGTACATTTGTGAAACTCATTCCTGGTGTCCACCACCGTGATCTAAATGGAATATTGCAAAAAAGCTTCGTAAATCCATATTCACTCACTCAGGACGAAGATGTATAATGATAAATATATGCGCTGATGCAAGGCATAATTGTACGAGCAATGAGCTTCCGCTTTATGGAATAGGTGCTGGACGAACGTACTTTGATTATTATTATTGTTGCTTTTCCGTGGTGCTGTTGTCACTGCTGTTGCTGTTGTTGATATTAAACAAGTGGGGTTAGATAGTGAGTGAGTGAGTATGGTTTTACGCCACTTTTAACAATATTCCATCAATATCACAGTAGGGTACACCAGAAATCAGCTTCACACATTGTACCCATGTGGGGAATCGAACCCGGGTTTTCGGCGTGACGATCGAACGTTTTAACCACTAGGCTACCCCACCGCTCCCAGCATGCCATTGAAGCCCTCTCAGACACAGTATACTCACTCACACTTGTGAGTATGGAACCAGCGTTGGCTGAGTGGGTTAGACGGCTGAATTTGTATGCTGGCGAGAAGGTGCCTGACTCTGAGGATGTGGATTCTAATCCCGGATGGGACTCAGCCCGACAAACGTACTAACCGGCTATTCTTACTATTCGGCTTCTTCCACAATTAACACTAGTATTTTACCCTTTACATTTCTCTTCAGCCCCGTAAACGTCAATGAGGAACAAACTGATAAATATACACACGTTATGCTCGAGAACGCATGCGTGTTTAACCCTTTATATCTGTCTCTATACAGAGAACTAGTGAGGAAGTGCAATAAGGAGGTGCATGTACATTTACATTTACAAATGTTACCATCGTTACAACAAAACTGTCAATATTTTTATCATTTCGCTCAATACATATGCATACAACGGTTGGGTGTGGTGTAAATATATAGGTTTGTGCGGTAGATATTTCTGAGGAAAACACATGCCAATTTATTCTAACGGTCTTGACATCACTTATTGTTCAGTGTTCCGGGTAATGCTTCATTCCGGAAGCTGGTCATGCTCCCATGATTCGACAGCACGGAACTTCCGGTCTCGTTGCAGCGATTTCTTTGTTTGAGCAGTATTTGTATTTGAAGTCACTCGTCTCGATCCTTTTGACGTGAACGGTAAACCACGGTTATAGTGAACTCAAACGACCACTAATTGGCGCTCGTGTTAACCGAAGTTTAATATATGTATTTTGAATAAAATATGCACCAATTGACCGGGACAAAAAATACAGTTCGTTTTATTCACCAGTTTGCTACAACAATATTCGTTATAAACGTAGTTTAATTACCTTCAAGGTTTAACGCTATTTATTTACTTTGACCGTATATCGGTATAACCGTAGTTAGTTATATACATTTTGAATAAAATATGCACCAACTGACCGGGACAAAAAAGACAGTTCGTTATATTCACCAGTTTGCTACAACAATATTCGTTATAAACGTAGTTTAATGACCTTCAAGGTTTAACGCTATTTATTTACTTTGACCGTATATCGGTATAACTGTAGTTAGTTATATACATTTTGAATAAAATATGCACCAACTGACCGGGACAAAAAAGACAGTTCGTTATATTCACCAGTTTGCTACAACAATATTCGTTATAAACGTAGTTTGATGACCTTCAAGGTTTAACGCTATTTCTTTACTTTGACCTTATATCGTTATAGCCGTAGTTTAATATATGTATTTTGAATAAAATATAATATATGTATTTTGAATAAAAAAAACACCAATTGACCGGGACAAAAATACATTTCGTTGTTTTGTTTTAACCATATTTTATTCAAGGATGAAATGGATTGGGCACAAGTAATCCAACTCAGGAACGCCCTCTCCCAGAAGTTACGTATTTCATATTTACAATATAAAACATTGACAACAGGGAATTGTTGAGTGAATTTACAAGATCTTTAAAGAGGATGTGTATAATACATACAAGAATAAAACTAGAAATAAATAACTAAATTTATTTACTTTAACCATATATAGTTATAACCGTTGTTAGTTGTATGTATTTTGAATAAAATATACACCAATTAACTGGGACACAAAATACAGTTCGTTATATTCGTCAGTTTGCAATATCCGTGTTCGTATCAAATCTAGCATACCGTCCTTCAAAGGTTAAAACTGTTCGCACACTTCACCGCCCCCCAGGTGGTTTTGACAGCTTATACGTTGATTTTTCTAACACTCACTGGTCCAAATGTTACCGGTCCACAGCGAAACATTCTGGTCTTTCGAATGAGCTAGGAATCAGTGAGAAGGCGGTTGAACCCAGAACACACAGAACAACATACTCAACCTCACTGTTCCAACCAAAAACATTCGAATCACGAAACATTTAAACCTCAAACACAAGCCCCACGCATCCGACTTGAGCACGCAACGTCCGCACAAGCACACACACATCCACCGACCGACACACAATACAACACACCAAACACGCACACGCACATACACATGCATAGGCTCTCTGACCAAGCCATCTCAAAAACACGTACTTCAACCGACAAACGATACACCAAACAGGCACACACACATGTCGTTAGAGGCAACTAACGCGATCGGGTGGTCAGGCTCGCTGACTTGGTTGACACATGTCATCGTATCCCATTTGCGTAGATCGATGCTCATGCTGTAGATCACTGGATTGTCTGGTCCAGACTCGATTATTTACAGACTGCCGCCATATAGGTGGAATATTGCTGAGTGTGGCGTAAAACTAAACTCACTCACTCACTCACTCAATAATAGCAACACTAGTGAGTGAGGGAGGGAGGAAGCGTGTTTTACACACGTGGAAGATCGAACCTGTATTTTGGGGCATATGACCAACAGTTGAAATGTGCATATCATTTGGCCGCCAAATTTCCATTTCTTTCGCAGTGTATTTCTGGAGCCATTTCTTCCATGATTATTTACAGACCGCCGCCATATAGCTGGAATATTGCTGAGTTCGGCGTTAAACAACGAACAAACACAATTCGTGAGAGCTATGTAACATATTTCATCTGACGGCGTCTCTGCCCCTCCTACAACACACGCACCAACTTCCATCTCTTCTTCCGCTTCAGCTGGTTTCACATCCACACAAGCTCGTCAGGAGGAGGAAGAAGGTGCTAACAGCGGAAGACCAGGATGACAACACTTAGACTCTTGACACCAAGGTCGCTCAAGATGGCGTACTGGACATGGGTCTGGCTGCTTACAACTATCCTCGTACCAGGTATGTCTTGTCAGACCCGAGACGATCCGGGTTAGAATTTTTCTTCAATAACCCATGCTTATCTCCCCCGTGAAGATCCGGGTTAAAATTGTTCTTCAATAACCCATGCTTATCTCCCCCGTGAAGATCCGGGTTAAAATTGTTCTTCAATAACCCATTCTTATCTCCCCCGTGAAGATCCGGGTTAGAATTGTTCTTCAATAACCCATGCCTGTCTCCCCCGTGAAGATCCAGTCCCTGCCTGGCGCTCGGCATTAATGGGTACAACAAGGACTGGTCGGCTCGGAGTCAGTATAATGTGTCTGAGTGAGGTATTCATGCTTCACTGCGGTATGGTATCTCAGTGGGCTAGCACTAAAAAACCAGCATAAGTCTGGGCTAGTACAAGCAGCCGCACATACACATACACACGCATGCAAGTCGTCATATGAGCGAAATATTCTCAAGAACGACGTTAAACCCAATTTCACCTCACCTCACCTCACCGTGAAGATCCGGGTAAGAATTGTTCTTCAATAACCCATGCCTGTCTCCACCGCGAAGATCCGGGTTAGAATGGATCTTCAATAACCCATTCTTGTCTCCCCCGTGAAGATCCAAGTTGGAATTGATCTTCAGCAACCTGTGTTTGTCTCCCCCGTGAAGGTCTGGGTTAGAATTGAAATTCAGTCACCCATGATTGTTGTAAGAGGCGACTAACGGGATTGGGTGGTCAGGCTCGCTGACTTGGTTGGCACATGTCATCGTATCCCACTTGCGTACATCGATGCTCATGTTGTTGATCACTGGATTGTCTGGTCCAGACTCGATTATTTACAGACCACCGCCATATAGGTGGAATATTGCTGAGTGCGGCGTAGAACTAAACTCACTCACTCTCTAGTAGCGAGTGTATCAACTTTGCATTGACGTATACCTGGCACCTTCGTCTGACTAAGGCCACTGAACCTCGATGAAAATCCTAGGGGCGGACAATATGGCGTAGTTCCTGCAGCGTTAATGGAGTTTCGGATGGTTCATCGGGTGACAAATAAGGGGATCGTGTGGCCCAAGGCATCACATTAACTTTGTTCTGACTAAGACACTGCTGTACAACTTGAAGACGCTGATGTTCTTCGTCTGAATTGGTTGCTGGATGCCGAAGATGTCGTCGCAGATACACCTCTGCTGCCCGGTAGGGGTGTAAGTGTTTCTGGAGCCAGTGTCCAAGGTGCGTGGTTCACATCCATCGGTCTTAACGTGGAGTCGTTACTATCGGGCGGCCTGTAACTTTGTCTGTAACTTAATTGTTTGCTGAAAACGTTGCAATACGTGCCAAATGGTGTTTTGTGAACGCTGAATGGACGAGCATTCCTAATGCGCTATACTCCATTCACTAAGTGAGGTGAGGTGAAATTGGGTTTAACGTCTTGCTTGAGAATATTTCGCTCTTATGACAACGTGCATGCGTGTGTATGTGTAGGTTCGGCTGCTTGTATTAGCAAGCTGGTTTTATAGTGCTAGCCCACTGAGATACCATGCCGCAGTGAAGCATGAATACCCCACTCAGACACATTATGCTGACTCCCAGCCGACCAGTCCTTGTTGTACCCATTAATGCCGAGCGCCAGGCAGGGACCAACAAGTACCATATTTTAACATCTTTTGGTATGACGCGGTCGGGGATCGAACCCGCGACCTTCCTCTCTCCGGGCGGACGCTCTAACCACTACACCACGGTGGCGGTCCCATTCACTAAGTGAATGTATATAGCGCTAACAATCGGATTTTTTTTACCTCGGGTAACCCAAGCTGTCTGTGAAGCGCGAGAAGGTTGATAGTCAGATGGCTTATCCCAGCGGGTACCCATTTTCTGCTGGGTGAACAGAGACAATTTTGTACAGGCTCACTTGCCTAAGGTGAGACCACATGTATCACATGTGCTGCTTTGTGGGACACAACTGATGTCCTAGTACGTCTCAGGAGTCAAGCTGCCAAACACGGTCACCCATCCAAGGACTCTCAGCGTCCAACGTTGCTTAACTTCAACTATGCACAGGTCCACACTCACCACTACCAAACTGAAACGGACCTATAGCTCTCCAAGTGTCGTTTTCCACCAGATTGACATGCCGAACCTTTTCCAGAACGATGTGCACGGTGTTTTCAGACTTCTGCAATACTTAAGCCAGCACTGTGTGAGTGAGTATGGTTTTACGCTGCTTTTAGCAATATTCTAGCAATATCGCGGCGGGGAACACCAGAAATAGGCTTTACATATTGCAGCTATTTGGTGAATCAAACCCGGGTCATCGGCGTGACGAGCGGACGACTTAACCACTATGCTACCCCACCGCCCCTAGCCCAGCACTGAGTGGTTAGTGTAAGCGCCTGGTTGTTTGGCCTTGTGAGCATGGATGGCCATTTTATCGACCGTAAATGTTCTTGCAAATTTCGTGGAATTCGAATAACGGGTTGGTTGGGTTTCTTCGATCATTTTAACAAACTATTTCTCTGGTTCAAATCCAAATATTCAAATCCGTTCACACGATTAGCAATGAAGAAAATCGCGTCACATCACTTTTACCTCTGAGCGTATATATATGTTCACCCTCAACATCGCGAGTGAGTTGGGTTTTTCGTCGCTTTTAGCAATATTCGCCGGGGGACACCGTAAATGGTCTCATACATTGTGTCCATGTGGGAAATCGAACCCGGGCCTTCAGCGTTAACCACTACCCTACCCCACCGGCCCTCAGCATCATGAAGGTGTAAAACATGACAGTCTTGCTTTTGTTATAGTGACTAATTCAGGACAGCCATCGTCCAAATATTTAAAAAGTCCAAAACTATGTTGTCAAGACATGTGAGACTTTATTGTAAAACATATATGATGCTAACCTGTAATCTTAATCACTACTGTACATCCTTATCACTACCGCATTGTACATTGACTTGTCAGCCCATTAATTATTGTATAAGACATTTGTAACCTTCATCGGTAATCCCCTTTGGCCGTGTCTGCCATCACATCAACTGGTCAAGGAAGTGCTATTGTTTTTCTGTCTGTCCATTGATGAGTCATCGCCTGTCCATTGTTGTCAAAAACTGTATATATATATACTTAGTATGCTCACATCTAGACAGTGAAGGAGTACGAGGCCGGTATTCTGTGTTGGAACGTCCACGAGCAGGATAATGCTGCTCGTAGGAAACGTCCTGGGGTTGAGCAGGTACTCCGCTCACCACATTTATGTCTTGTGTATTTGTTTGTCATGTAACTAAAGAAGTTTGAACTCAACTATGCCTTCGTCTTCATCAACGCACACTTCATGTTAACATGAGCTAATTCCCCAGTTGACGCATATCCACGCGTTGACAGTTTCTTCACATGGTGTCTTGCAAATATTGAAAGAAGCAGTCATTAATTCCTGACAATTAAGTTATTCTTTTTGATCTGCAATTTGACATAGCTTTCTAAATAACTTTAGGTATACTTGTTGATTTGTACGGAAACGTTTTAGGGTCGTTAGTATTTTACATTGAATATCTTGAAATTTCAAAATATTAAGTAAGTTGAAATTTCAAGATCTTGAATTTCCGCTTAGCATCTTGAACTTTCAAGTAAACAATTAACCGAATGACCAAGAAAGCCCCAGGGGCGGATCCAGGATTTTGGGGAAGGGGGATTACATGTCCATAGGTTAGGGTGTAATGGTCAGGGAAAATAAATTCGAGGGGGGGTGGGGGGCGTACACACACACACCAACAATCAAAGTCTTCCGTAAATATTCTTTACGATATGGTTTTGTTCTTCAGGTAAGATTGATGCGGCAACACTTAGTGTCAATGGATCAACGTCCACCGCAGTCGCCTCAACGACAGAAATTCGTCTAACATGCAGGTATACACTCTCGGCGAATGAAAATGCCACCAGGCTGAGCTGGAACGATCCTAAAGGGACCGAAATTTTGACATGGAACATCAACGTTTCGCCTGCAAGCAAATCTCCGTGGACAAAAAGCGCCTCTCAAACAACTGCAACGGCGATGCTGGCCCCTGCACACGTGACCAAGACGTCGGGAGGGACGTACACATGCAAGTTAGCATCTTCGTCGAGAAATGTGACTGAAACAACGACGGTTACTATACAATGTAAGTGACGATGTGTGTTTGTTTAATAACGGTGCACTCAGCAATATTTTAGCTATATGGCGACGGTCTGTGAATAATCGAATCTGGACCAGACAATCCAGTGTCTAAGAGCATGAGCATCGATCTGCGCAATTTGGATATGATGACATGTGCCCACCATGTCAGGGAGTGAGAACACCCGATCACGTTAGTCGCCTCTTACTACAAGCTGAAGGCCAATTCTAACCCTTCACGCAGCGAGTCCAAGTTAGCATGGTCGATAGATTAGTGATGGTTGGGAAGACGACTTCAATTTTACCAATGTTGGAAATTTGAGATAGAAAATAGCCCTGAAGGTTTTTATTACTGATATAATAAAAATCTTCCGATTTCAGAAAAGTATCTCCTCCTGCCGGCTTATGTACATTTACTCATCTTAAAATACAGAACCTGTAATCATAACCTACCTGTTGAAGTTGGCCGTTGGCATGGCATTGATCGCGAAACAGAACCTGTAATCTCTGTAAATCGCCTGCTGTAGCAGATGAATTTCATTATTTTTTTAAATGCCAAGCTTGTACTGAACAAAGAAAGAAACACATTTCCAATAAATACTTATCTTTCCCTAATCTAATGACTTATAAGAAAAACTATTTCTGAAGCAAAATCTTGCACAATCACAAAACTTAGCAAAATACCTAAACTTAGTTGAGAAAAGTGTGAAAAAGACTAAATGCTTATATGTGATATAAAACTATAATTGTACTTTCTGCCACCTTGCCTTTATGTATATGCATTGTCAAGGTTTAATCATATTGCTCTTGTACCACCAAAAGTGTTGGTTTTTTTAGAATAAAAGAATTGGAATTGGCCGAGAAGCACATAAGGTCTCTGTTGAGTTCATCTCGATGGACGCTAAAAGGTCTAGCGTCTTCATTGAGTCTCTCGGTGAGGTAGTCTCGTGGTTAAAGCGTTCCCTCGTCACGCCGAAGACCCGGGTTCGATGCCCCACATGGGTGCAATGTGTGAAGCAGATATCCGGTACCCCCAGTCGCCGGGGATATTATTGCTGGACTATTGCTAAAAGCGGCCTAAAACAAAACTCACTCACTCATTGATTCTCTCTCTGGGTTCATATCTTTAGATAAACCAACCGTGACTCTTAACCCCACCGGTACCTACGACGTCAACCAAGGCAGCCAGCTGTTACTGACGTGCGCGGCACAGGCTGTACCTACGGCGACAATTCAGTGGATGAAAGGGTCATCGACTCTCAGCGGGACGTCAGGTGAGCTGGAAATTTCAATTTGTCCAAACAACTACCTGTAAAATCCGCATGTTTGGTTTTGTATTCCAAAACTTACTGTCAACTGGACTACTTTCACTTTGTCAACAATTAGTATAGGTTTGATTAAAGTTCAATACTGTTTGATTACACATGGGTTAAAAGTAAGACTGGCTATCGATATAGATCACAGAGATTGATAATCGTTAACTTAATATCGATCCATTATCGATAAAAATCGGAGAAGTAACTTTGAGCAAAAATGCCAAAATATGTCTAAAGGAAATCATGAATATATTTACCACGACGGGTGAATGTTGACATGTGTATTCATGGGTTACTAAAAAAAGCATCCGGAACATAATTTAGAAGCAGCCCATGATTAAAAAACCTGTATCAAGCTTTCTGTTTTGTGTGAGTAAATTAAACATTTCTTCTGTCACTAAAGTTTGTGAAACATATTATCTATGACACTAGTTTCATATTGATAATCATTCATAATTATTCCTATAGACGATATTTTCGATTATCCTAGTGAAAGGTCATTCAGTGCAAAGATAGTTCACTCATGTGTGACAGAAGGTACGATGGTTTTAATCCCAGATTCTCTGATCACACAATGCCGTTTAGAAAGTGATCAAATGTGTAGCATATGTTATATTTGGAATTACACTTTCTTAGTAAAGTACAGATTCTAGTACTTTTGTTGGGTTGAGTCCCATCCAGGATTTGTGTGCTTGAGATTATGGTATGGGTTCGAATCCCGGATGGAACTTAATCCCAGATTCTCGCTCCTTGTGATTTATGGTTTGAGAGCACCAAACCCGTTTTCACAGATAAATTTAAATTTCTGGGACCGACCTGATTCTTGCTTCTCCCATATTCAGAATACAGGACGAGAAATAACTGAAATACAAAGCAGTGTAAAACTTAATTCAGTCAGTGGGTGATAACTTTTGTCATGTGATTATCCTTCACAGTGAATAAGCCCAAGGCTGTCCGGGCTGATGCAGGGACATACAAATGCACGGCGACTAACACCATGATCAGCGGAACAGGAAGTGCCACAGGAACAGTTGCCGTTACCATAAACTGTACGTAAGACTACACCATACAGCGAGTTAGTGAGTGAGTATGTTTTTTATGCCGCAATATTCCAGCAAAATAGCGGCGGGGGACACCATGAAATGGGTTTCACACAGTGTACCCATTTCTGGAATCGAACCCGGGTCTTTGGCGTGACGAGCCATCTCTTTAACCACTAAGCTACTAAACCCCTCCCCACACAACCCTCTCCCTCTTCCCGTCTTCTTCGTCTACCTCCACCTGATACCTGCTCTCCCCTCTCTCCCTCCCTTCCTCCCCCCTCAATCCTTCTCCTCCCCCTCCCCCTTCTCTCTTCCACCACATAACACATATAGGTAACCAAATAGACAATATACTGTTATTTTAATAGCTGGTGCTCGCCACTCAATCCGTCTCACGTACATTGCACCTTGCTTGAAAATATCGTGTGAGTTTCGCGTGGATGACGCGTGAGTATATTAATCTCGTGACAACGTGGACAAAATGGTAACAAGAACTGAATTAACTTAATTCATGTTGGAGTGGGTAATACATTGAACAACATATACTCTCCCCCAAAAGAAACCCTTAGGTGTATTTGCACATCACCCTCCAAAACTTCTCTGCACTGTCTCGGCATGGACTGAATCAGTCTTTGAATTCGACCTTGTGGGATCCTGGCCCATTCCTCTTGCAATGCCCGCGACAGTTGCTCTAACGTATGGGGCGCCGGTTAACGTTCATCCCCCAAATGCTTGATGCTATTGAGGTTTGGCGACGGCAATCCTTCTACAGTATCGGTCATTATCGGAAAGCGTCATTCGTTACTGAACCATACACGTCACCAGTTTGGTAGATTCCAGAATTGAACGTTATTGCGTCACTGGACAAGGCGACGTCGACGCAGTCGTCGCAGGGCCCAAATAGGGTCCGGCTTCTAATAAACGGTTACGAATAGTTTGCGCCAACACTTTCCTCGAACCAGGCACTGCACTTGTAGCTGCAGTTGCTGTGGCAGATCGAGTCCGCAAATGAAGTACCCGGATGTACCTATCCTCCGCTGCAGTGGCTTTCTGAGGTCTCCCACTTCGAGGTCGATCTTGCGTAGAATTGGTCTGTTGATATAGATCCCATAAACAACTGTTGGTACTCTGGTGAACATTGAGGTGACGCGCAACGGCAGTTTAAGACTCCCCAGCCTCCAGACGTCCAATGGCAATGTTTCGTTATACAGCACTGAGTCACGGCATAACAATATTCTTTCATTTAGATACAAACTGCAAATGACCATCTAAAAGCAAAACGACCTTCGACTTCTTTGAGTGGCATTTTAGAAGTTAGAAGTCAAATAGAACGGTATATACTTGTATGAACGACAACTTCTTTAATTAAAGAGCACGACGTTTCGATACAGGTTCTTGTAACGTTTTCAAGTATGAATGATACTTGTTCATCTATACTTGTTCTGTCTATCAGAGCGACCTTATGAGACAATGTCCCTGCTCACGATTCCTCAGAACAGCACGTGCTTATTGCGAACCACTTTTTCTCGATGACATTTTCATGCAAGTTGACACTTTCAAACTTAAACGTGCAGTTTAGTTTCGAAGATGCGTTTTTGCGCTATGCATTCGTTCCACGTACACAAACCTGCATTATAATGGCGAAATTCGTCCAACAGAGTAGTGAGTGAGTGAGTTTAGTTTTACGCCGCACTCAGCAATATTCCAGCTATATGGCGGCGGTCTGTAAATAATCGAATCTGGACCAGACAATCCAGTGATCAACAGCATGAGCATCGATCTGCGCAACTGGGAACCGATGACATGTGTCAACCAAGCCAGCGAGCCTGACCACCCGATCCCGTTAATCGCCTCTTACGACAAGCATTGGTTCCTGAAGGTTCATTCAAACCCGGACCTTCACAGGTTCAGGATTACCCTGCGGTGTATATTCTAGATTAAACTCAGGGATGGTCGTATCGGGAATACCTCTCAATGTGAGGACGGTCCATGCACTGTGTTTAACTAATTGTAACCATTTCAACGATTTTGGCATCAAGGTTTTTTAACTTAGGTGAAGATGAGAATAGCTTTGAGCAGCCCCTGCTTGTCGTAAGAGGCTAGACACGGTATCGAGTGGTCAGGTAACCTATGTGGGGATTAGAATCGTCTTCAGCAGCCCTTCCTTGTGGCTCGTTGACTCGGTTGATCTCACCGGACGCTCAGCACAAGCCAACGAGTACGTAATAAGGGTATTTGTTATACTTTCTTCTCTTGTTCTCCAGACCTAGACAACCCGAGTATGGCGATGTCTGTAACTAACACTACAGTGAAGGAGAACCAAAGGGTGACCATAACCTGCACAGTTAGCAGTGTTCCAACTGCTACCCTGACCATAAGTGGACCATCCATCTCACAAACGACAACCAGCACATCGGCCTCAACCACCTTCAGTGCCAGGTGTTCGAATACAGGAACCTATCTGTGTCGAGCAACTAATGCGAAGGTTCAGCCAGCAAAGGTGGTCACGAAAACATTGCGTGTATTGTGTGAGTATAAAGTTCACAGGAATGTGAGTGAGTGAGTGAGTGAGTATAAAGTTCACAGGAATGTGAGTGTGAGTGAGTGAGTATAAAGTGAGGAATGTGAGTGAGTGTGTGAGTGAGTGTGTGAGTGAGTGTGTGTGTGAGTGAGTGAGTGAGTGAGTGAGTGAGGTGAGTGAGTGGTGAGTGGTGTGTGTGAGTGTGTGAGTGAGTGAGTGTGTGTGTGGGTGGGTGAGTGAGTGAGTGGGTGGATAGGTGGTGAGTGAGATGTGTGGAGTGAGTGAGTGAGTGGTGAGTGGGTGGGTGGTGAGTGGGTTTGTGGGGTGGATAGGCGGTGGATGAGATGAGTGAGTGAGTGAATGAGTTATGGAGTGAGTGAGTGAGTGAACCAGTTTGTTGGTGAATAGGAGATGGGTATGATGAGTGAGTGAGTGAATCAGCGAGTGATTGAGTGGAAAGATAAAGGCGGTGGATGAGATCAGGGATTGCTGTGAATGCTTTACTTGACATCTGAAGTTGCGTGATAAACACTTCAACCTAATGTCAGGGCCGTAGTTAGACGGGGGCAGGTGTTTGATATAACACTCTGTTAACATTGATAGTGCCCTCCTTATTAAGAAAAGTTAACTACGGCCCTGAATGTCCACAGCCTACTTACACGAAACATTAAGAACTAATAGTGAATTACAGGAGATTACTGAAGGCTACTTTCACAGATTACGACTCCATACCATCCACAGGAGTATATGAAAATAATGACGACACCTGCATCAGTTGAAAACTTTTAGACGTTTCATACGTTTTGAAAAGGGTGACTGTGGCTGTAAAGTTATACATATTGGTATTGATATGTAGTTTGCGCCAAAAATTTACAGAATGGTATTTTTTTCTTATTGTTTTGTTAAGCCTATAAGACTTTGATAAAAGATGCTCAAAATCGGTATTCATTGACGTAAAGATAATTATTGGTTTGTTCAATCTATATAACATTCACAAAAGGGAAAAAATGCTGTTTGTCTGGTCCAGTCTGCATCAGTTTGACAACAAAGGGAAAATCTACTGGGCTTGTGGACCCGACATCACATCACATTGACAACAAGGAGAAACCTGTTGAGGTTGTTCTCTCTATATCACACTGACAACAAGGGAAATGTTCTTTTTACCAGGTAAGCCACGACAGGGAGCAGGCAGTCAACAAAATTTGACCAAGAGGGTGTCCGAATCTGCGATATTCACCGCCAACGTCATCGCCGATCCTCCTCCTCAGTACACGTGGAAGATCAAAGACCCAGATACTGGTCTCGTTAGACAAATACAGAACAAGTCTGGCCACGTTGAAATAATCAACAATAATTTGAGGTCATCACTGAAAGTCACAGTAGAAAACGCCGACGACTACGCCCAATATATCCTGGAGGTCATGAACGTAGAAGGGGAGACAACTCTAAATTATTGGCTTCGTTCTCAAAGTAAGAGCTTGTGGTTTGATAATTATAACGAATTTTGAAATGAGCTTATTTTGAAGCTGTTTTTAAGAAATCATGAACGAATTGATAAGCAGACCAAAACTATTAATAGACCTGGTCTGGAACTATGAATGAGTGGGTATAGTGTAGTTTCAGCAATACAACAGCAAGATCAAAGCAAGGTCACAGCAATACCACAGCAATATCACAGCAAGGTCACATCAAGGTCACTGTGAACCGAAATAGTTTTTCGTGTTACAAATCCATACATTGAATTCCGACACGTAGCCCACAGTAACAATCATACTTAGATATACCTGCTTCAGCTTCACTGAAACATCACAGGGTACCCTTGTGGTTCAAGCGCTGGGCTGTCACGCTTAAGTGCCGTGTTCGATTCCCCACATGTGTAGAATGTGTTAACTAATTGCTGGTGTTCCCTGCCGTCATATTGCTGGAATATTGCTGGAATATTGCTAAAACTGCTCGAAACCTTACCTACACACATTCACTGTAACATCACTGAGGGAAATCTCTATTTACGCGACGCGCATATGAGAACAATCAATTACATTCAAACCGAATTAGACTTACAAATTAACCAATGATTTGTTAGCCAAACGGGTTTGGGCAGAAACATGGGAACATATGCCACTAATAAGGAAGTGTATCGGAAATTAGTTTGTCCTGAGCCTCTGAAGATATGTAAAACATATCTAATGTCACCAACTTTAGTGTCTGATAAGGGCAGGGGCGGTGGGGTAGCCTAATGGTTAAACCTAGCGTTCGCTCGTCACGCCGAAGACTCGATTCTCCACATGGTTAAAATGTGTTAATCCCATTTCTGGTGTTCCCCGCCTCGATATTGCTGGAACATTGTTAAAAGCGGAGTAAAATTAAATTCACTCACTCACTCGATTCAAGTTGTATGTCAGAGGACTTCATATCTACGTAAATATGTTGTCTGTTAAGCTGTGCCGTTCAGGGTTCAAAACTTAGAAGAGGCTAACGTGACGACCGACTCCATCACCGTACGCTGGACGTCGGCCTTCAACGGTGGTGCTAGGCAACAATATCACCTACAGTACCAGACCACGCTGGACAGAGAGAGGAGGGTCTGGACACAGAAGACAGCCAGAATTGAAGACCCTGGTCGGAAGAACCTGGTGTACGCCACCATATCGGACATCTATCCTGGTAGAACCTACACCGTTAGAATATTCTCCAACAACACCTTTGGGAACAGTGAATACTCCAACAGCATCAACCTCACCACGTCAGGTAGGAGCACAATAATTGCCACAGACCTCATCACATAGGGTGGGCATCACAATAAAAGATACCACAGCCGTAAAGAGTCTGTCTTCAGTAACCCATGCTTGTCGTAAGAGGCGAATAACGGGGTCGGGTGGTCAGGCTTGCTGACTTGGTTGACACATGTCATCATATCACAGTTGCTTTGATCGATGCTCATGCTGTTGATCACTGGATTGTCTGGTCCTGACTCGGTTATTTACAGACCGCTACCATATAGCTGTAATATTGCTGACTGCGGCGTAAAACTAAACTCGACACATGTCATCGTATCACAGTTGCTTTGATCGATGCTCATGCTGTTGATCACTGGATTGTCTGGTCCTGACTCGGTTATTTACAGACCGCTACCATATAGCTGTAATATTGCTGACTGCGGCGTAAAACTAAACTCGCTCAATCACAACCAACAGATGTACGTACCTCTGGTTTGTCAGTAATTCTTCGAGTGTTTAGCGATGCGTGAAGATCCGGGTTAGAATTGATCTTCAGTAACCCATGCTTGTAAAAGGCGACTAATCAGCACATGCTGATCGATGCACATCACTGGATTGTCTGGCCCAGTCCGGAGCCATATAGGTGGAATATTGCTGAGTGTGACGATAAACTACAAAGAAACAACTTTGAAGAACACATACTGCTTACAATGGATAGTGTCTGTTTTCCTTATATGGTAGTTTAATGACGCATAGTGTAGTTCTGATGGGAGCTTGATGGGGCATCAACTGTTGGACATTACAGATGAATATAAATGGAAACATTGTAAAATCGAGGCATATTTGGCAGTGCTTTTCCAGCTAAAGGATTAAAATAAATCAACAACATTGTTTAGTTGAATGCTGTCTTTACAATTGATAAGTTCTCAAAGGAATATAGCTCAGTTCTGTTCAAAGTGGATGTTGTACCATGAACTAGCTAATGTAGATATGTAGATTTCAAAATTTCAACTCTTGATCTAATGAGTACAAAATTTATATTTTGTGGAGTCTATGTTAAATATGTTTATGGTAATCTTAGTGTGAATCAGTGTGTATGTCAGTGTTAATTTAACTATCTGAGTCCATAACATCATAAACTTAATATGAACCTCAGTAACAGAACTAATTTAGTATGTATAACAATTGTCTTTTCAATCTTGCTTGTTTCTTTTTAAGATGCCTAATATCTTTTCTTGTATGATTTGGGACCAGCATGGAAGCATACAGAAATATAATATTAATTACAAAATATAATAGCTTAATGGGAAGAACTTGATTTATCTTACCTCCCACATAAATGTCGTTTTCTGATTAGATAAGCGCTCTTCTAATATTTTCAATGTACTCTGCTTACAAGCGAGTAACATTTTCTATGTGGGAATTCATTTGGTACTTCGTGCCAGTAGTTGAGTCACGTATTGATGTACGGAAATTACCGATCTTTTGCGAATGCAAACCAATGGAAGGGAGATAACTCTAAATCTGTTTTCCTGTCGTCTGCTAGATTCTATGTCATCTGAAAATCTGGTATTGGCTAATTGCATAATTCTGGTACTCCTTATTATGATCCGATACCCGTGTTTGTAACAATTTAAAATTAACATTGACGTGTTAGGTAAGATAAATACGTTGTGCACCAATCCCTGTACCCTCTATGTTTGTTTATGTTTATGACGCCCATTTTAGTACATGTATCTCTTTTGGCGGGTTGCTGAAATCAGTTTGCATAAGATTGCATTGCATTGCATTGCTTTGTTTTGCTTTGCTTTGCTTTGCTTTGCTTTGAATTACCTTGTTTTGTTAAATTGGTCCATTCTGTATATTTGGATTTTACGTTGGTTTTTGCTAGATGGGTTAATTTGTCATTATTTCTGTTTTTTTTTTTTTTTATTATTATGTTGTTTTTATGTGTTATTTGTTGTTATTTTTGGTTAATTTTGTTTGCTTCTTGTTGTTTTTTTTATCGAGTGTTACATCTGTTTATACCCTGCTGAGTCGGAGCACAATTAGCACGACATATCGTCTTTCACGTTGTAATCTTTGGTCCAGGACTCACTGTAAGGGAATGTCGTATGTCAGGAATTAGGCTCGAAAAAAATACTGTGTCGCGTTACCTTGGAACGAAAACGTATTAATCCATCCAATTTGTGTTTCTGTTTTGAACGATGGTCAGTTGTTGTTATAAACTGACATTTTGATTATTTGTCTGCTTTCAGAGTAATATATATACTCATGCCAATAATGGTTGTCACCCCCTTCAATCTTTTTAATTGGAGAGGGGGTGTTGGGTAGGGATGTGAGGTGTGTGTGGGGTTGGGGTTGGGGTTGGGAGGGGGGTGACAACCATTATTGGCATGAGTATATTATATTGTTTTGTCTTTTGAAGTACCACAACAGTTGTCGGTCGGGGCTGGAATAGGAATAGGCATTGCAGTATCCATCGTTTTAGTAGCACTAACCGTTGGCTGCCTAGTGCTGTACGTTAAAGTAGTTCGACCAATGAGAGGTAAGTAAGATAATTGCGCATGTACATTATAACGACTGTTAACCATGAAGTCTTAAAAAGTCTTTCTGTATTGTTGAGGAAAATACGAGAAGACTCCTCCATTGTTCATGAAGTCACAAGTTTATCACATTTCGTCATTTGAACAAAAGACTACAATTTATCCTAGTTACTTAACCCCTAAATATACGTAAATATACCCAGTGAAATAACACTCATTCATTATGACTCTACTTTGCAGATGAGGCACAGAAGAAAACTGGGCTGTAAGTTCATATGTATAGTGTGGATGGAATGTTTCCTTGATCCAACCAATGACGTTGTTGGAATATCCCATATTCTCCAACCTTTGATTTTTGTCAAGGTGAGGTGAGGTGAGGTGAAATTGGGTTTAACGTCGTGCTTGAGAATATTTCGCTCATATGACGACGTGCATGCGTGTGTATGTGTATGTGCGGCTACTTGTACTAGCCCAGACTGAAGCTGGTTTTATAGTGCTAGCCCACTGAGATACCATGCCGTAGTGAAGCATGAATACCCCACTCAGACACATTATACTGACTCCGAGCCGACCAGTCCTTGTACCCATTAATGCCGAGCGCCAGGCAGGGACCAACAAGTACCATACTTTAACGGTTTTTTGGTATGACGCGTTCGGGGATCGAACCCGCGACCTTCCGCTCTCCGGGCAGACGCTCTAACCACTACACCACGGAGGCGGTCGATTTTGTCAAGAGGTCCGATACAAACAACATCGTAGAGCTGTAATATTGCAGAAACAAATATATACTCATGATATGGTCACAATTGTACAATCGACTCTGCTGGAAAGGGTTTTGATGCTTTTATCTAAATATTGTATTTTATATAATTCCTGATATAGGTGACATTTTCTGAGAGAATAAAATAACCATAAACTGCAGTTAGGGATGTTTCTCCCTTACCGGCCTCAATATGGCATCGGGCGGTGGGTAGCTTAGTGGTTAAGGCGTTTGCTCGTCACGCCGAAGACTGAGGTTCCATTCCCCGCATGGGTACAATATGTGAAGCCCATTTTGCTGGAATATTGCTAAAAGCGGCGTAAAACTAAACTCACTCACTCACTGATCCTAGTATAAGGCTGTATAATTGGTCTGCAAGAAATTGTTCTACAGGGAAGGGAGAACATATGCACCGGATGAAAACCTCTTCAGAAGATCATCCTGTGTTGTCTTTGTTCAACTCTTTCTTTACTTGTGACTCACTTTTTGTTCTCTATGATTTTTAGAAAGATCAACAACCCCGAATACGACCCACAATCGCTTGAAAATCCAGGTATGTCAACATGTCTAAAACAATTACAATATTCTCCGGGAATGTCAACACAAGAACAATCACCTTATTGTCCAGGTATGTTAACACATACACAATCACCTTATTATCCAGGTATGTCAACACACAATTACCTAATTCTTCAAGTATGTCAACACACAAACAATGACCTTATTATCCAGGTATGTCAACACACGCACAATCACCCTATTCTCAAGGTGTGTCAACACACGAACAATCACCCTATTCTCGAGACGTGACAACACACGAACAATCACCCTATTCTCCAGGTATGTCAATACATGCACAAAGTCGTTATTATCTAGGTATGTGAACACAAGAACAATCACCGTATTTTTCAGGTATGTCAACACACAATCACCCTATTCTCCAGGTCTGTCAACACACGCACAATCACCTTATTCTCCAGGTATGTCAACACACGAACAATAATGTGATTTCCTGGTATGTCAACACACGAACAATCACCCTATTCTACAGGTATGTCAACACACGAACAATCACCCTATTCTCCAGGTATGTCAACGCACGCACAATCACCTTATTCTCCAGGTATATCAACAACACGAACAATCACCCTATTCTTCAGGTATGTCAACAGACGCACAATCACCCTAGTCTCCTGGTATGTCAACACACTGCACAATCACCTTATTATCCAGGTATGTCAACACACGAACAATCACCCTATTCTCCAGGTATGTCAACACACGAACAATCACCATATTCTTCAGGTATGTCAACACACGAACAAGCACCTTATTCTCCAGGTATGTCAACACACGCACAATCACCTTATTATCCAGGTATGTCAACACACACAATCACCGTATTCTCCAGGTATGTCAACACACGCACAATCACCTTATTCTCCAGGTATGTCAACACACGAACAATCACCCTATTCTCCAGGGTCAACACATGTCAACAACACAGGTATGCACAATCACCTTATTCTCCAGGTATGTCAACACACGCACAATCACCTTATTATCATCCAGGTATGTCAACACACGCACAATCACCTTACAGGTATGTCAACACACCCACAATCACCTTATTCTCCAGGTATGTCAACACACTCACAATAACTTGATTTCCTTGTATGCCAACACATGCACAATCACCTTATTCTCCAGGTATGTCAACACAAGAACAATCACCATATTCTTCAGGTATGTCAACACACGAACAATCACCCTATTCCTCAGGTATGTCAACACACACACAACACACAGGAAAACGCACAATCGCCATATTCTCCAGGTATGTCAACACACGCACAATCACCTTATTCTCCAGGTATGTCAACACACGAACAATCACCCTATTCTTCAGGTATGTCAACACACGAACAAGCACCTTATTATCCTGGTATGTCAACACACGCATAATCACCCTATTCTCCAGGTATGTCAACACACGCACAATCACCCCATTCTGCAGGTATGTCAACACACGCACAATCAGATTATCATCCAGGTATGACAACACACCCACAATCACCTTATTCTCCAGGTATGTCAACACACGAACAATCACCATATTCTTCAGGTATGTCAACACACGAACAAGCACCTTTATTCTCCAGGTATGTCAACACACGCACAATCAGCTTATTATCCAGGTATGTCAACACACAGAATCACCGTATTCTCCAGGTATGTCAACACACGAACAAGCACCTTATTATCCTGGTATGTCAACACACGCATAATCACCCTATTCTCTAGGTATGTCAACACACGCACAATCACCTTATTCTGCAGGTATGTCAACACACGCACAATCAGATTATCATCCAGGTATGACAACACACCCACAATCACCTTATTCTCCAGGTATGTCAACACACGAACAATCACCATATTCTTCAGGTATGTCAACACACGAACAAGCACCTTATTCTCCAGGTATGTCAACACACGCACAATCAGCTTATTATCCAGGTATGTCAACACACACAATCACCTTATTCTCCAGGTATGTCAACACACGAACAATCACCATATTCTTCAGGTATGTCAACACACGAACAAGCACCTTATTCTCCAGGTATGTCAACACACGCACAATCAGCTTATTATCCAGGTATGTCAACACACGCACAATCACCCTATTCTCCAGGTATGTCAACACACGAACAATCACCCTATTCTCCAGGTATGTCAACACACGCACAATCACCACAATCACCCTATTCTCCAGGTATGTCAACACACGAACAATCACCCTATTCTACAGGTATGTCAACACACGCACAATCACCCCATTCTGCAGGTATGTCAACACACGCACAATCAGATTATCATCCAGGTATGACAACACACCCACAATCACCTTATCATCCAGGTATGTCAACACACCCACAATCACCTTATTCTCCAGGTATGTCAACACACTCACAATAACTTGATTTCCTTGTATGCCAACACATGCACAATCACCTTATTCTCCAGGTATGTCAACACAAGAACAATCACCATATTCTTCAGGTATGTCAACACACGAACAATCACCCTATTCCTCAGGTATGTCAACACACGAAAAATCGCCATATTCTCCAGGTATGTCAGCACACGCACAATCACCTTATTCTCCAGGTATGTCAGCACACGAACAATCACCCTATTCTTCAGGAATGTCAACACACGAACAAGCACCTTATTATCCTGGTATGTCAACACACGCATAATCACCCTATTCTGCAGGTATGTCAACACACGCACAATCACCCCATTCTGCAGGTATGTCAACACACGCACAATCAGATTATTCTCCAGGTATGTCAACACACGAACAATCACCTTATTCTTCAGGTATGTCAACACACTCACAATGACCTTATTATCCTGGTATGTCAACACACTCACAATGACTTGATTTCCTTGTATGCCAACACATGCACAATCACCTTATTCTCCAGGTATGTCAACACAGGAACAATCACCTTATTGTCCAGGTATGTTAACACACGCGTAATTACCTTTTTCTCCAGGTATGTCAACACACAAACAATCACCTTATTCTCCAGGTATGCCAACACACGAACAATAACGTGATTTCCTGGTATGTCAACACACGCACAATCAGCTTATCATCCAGGAATGACAACACACCCACAATCACCTTATTCTCCAGGTATGTCAACACACGAGCAATCACCATATTCTTCAGGTGTGTCAACACACGAACAAGCACCGAATTCTCCATGTATGTCAACACACGCACAATGACTTTATTATCCAGGTATGTCAACACACCCACAATGACCTTATTATCCAGGTATGTCAACACACACACAATGACCTTATTATCCGGGTATATCAACACACACACAATGACCTTATTATCCGGGTATATTAACACACACACAATCACCTTATTATCAAAGTATGTCAACACAAACACAATGACCTTATTATCCCGGTATATTAACACACGCACAATGACCTTATTATGCCAGGATGTCAACACACGCACAATGACCTTATTATCCGGGGATATCAACACACGCACAATGACATTATTATCCGGGTATCAACACACACAATGACCTTATTATCCGGGTATGTCAACATACACACAATCACCTTATTATTCGGGTATATCAACACACGCACAATCACCTTATTATCCGGGTATGTCGACACACACACAATGGCCTTATTTTCCGGGTATATTAACACACATGGCCACATACAATCACCTTATTATTAAAGTATGTCAACACACGCACAATGACCTTATTATCAGGGTATGTCAACACACACACAATCACCTTATTATCCGGGTATATTAACACACATAGAGTGACCTTATTTTCCATGTATATTAACACACGCGGGATCACCTTATTATCCGGGTATTTCAACACACACACAATGACCTTATTATCCGGGTATATAAACACACAAACAATCACCTTATTATCAAAGTATGTCAACACACACACAATGATATTATTATCCAAGTGTGTCAACACACACACAATGACCTTATTATACGGGTATATCAACACACACACAATGACCTTATTTATCCGGGTATATTAAAACACTCACAATCACCTTATTTTCAGGGTATATTAACACATATACAATCACCTTATTATCCGGGTATGTCAACACACGCACAATGACCTTATTATCCGGGTATATTAACACAAACACAATGACCTTATTATCCCGGTATATCAACACACACACAATGACCTTATTATCCGGGTATATCAACACACGCACAATGACCTTATTATCCGGGTATATCAACACACACACAATAACCTTATTATATGTATATTAACACGCAGTATCACTTATTATCCAGGTATGTCAACTTACCTTATTATCCGGGTATGTCAACACACACACAATCACCTTATTATCCGGGTATGTCAACACACGCACAATGACCCACCTTATTATCCGGGTATGTATATCAACACACACAATCACCTTATTATCCGGGTATATCAACACACACAACAATCACCTTATTATCCGGGTATGTCAACACACGCACAATGACCTTATTATCCGGGTATATTAACACACACAATCACCTTATTATCCGGGTATATCAACACACACACAATCACCTTATTATCCGGGTATGTCAACACACACGCAACAATGACCTTATTATCCGGGTATGTCAACACACACAATGACCTTATTATCCGGGTATATCAACACACGCACAATCACCTTATTATCCGGGTATGTCAACACACGCACAATGATCCTTATTATCCGGGTATATCAACACACGCACAATGACCTTATTATCCGGGTATATTAACACACGCAGTATCACCTTATTATCCAGGTATGTCAACACACACAATGACCTTATTATCCGGGTATATCAACACACACACAATGACCTTATTATCCGGGTATATCAACACACACACAATGACCTTATTATCCGGGTATATCAACACACACACAATGACCTTATTATCCCGGTATATCAACACACGCACAACACACCTTATTATATCCGGGTATGTCAACACACGCACAATGACCTTATTTATCCGGGTATATTAAAACACTCACAATCACCTTATTTTCAGGGTATATTAACACATATACAATCACCTTATTATCCGGGTATGTCAACACACGCACAATGACCTTATTATCCGGGTATATTAACACACGCACAATCACCTTATTATCCAGGTATGTCAACACACACACAATGACCTTATTATCCGGGTATATCAACACACACACAATGACCTTATTATCCGGGTATATCAACACACACACAATGACCTTATTATCCGGGTATATTAACACAAACACAATGACCTTATTATCCCGGTATATTAACACACGCACAATGACCTTATTATGCCGGGTATGTCAACACACGCACAATGACCTTATTATCCATATGTATACACACACAATCACCTTATTATCGGGTATATCAACACACACACAATGATCTTATTATCCGGGTATATCAACACACGCACAATGACTTTATTATCCGGGTATGTCAACACACACACAATCACCTTATTATCCGGGTATATCAACACACGCACAATGACCTTATTATTGGGTATCAACACACACAATAATCCCTTATTATCCGGGTATGTCAACACACACACAATCACCTTATTATCCGGGTATATTAACACACACACAATGACCTTATTATCCATGTGTATTAACACACGCACAATGACCTTATTATCCGGGTATATCAACACACACACAATGACCTTATTATCCGGGTATATTAACACACACACAATGACCTTATTATCCGGGTATATTAACACACATACAATGACCTTATTATCCAAGTATGTCAACACACGCACAATGACCTTATTATCCGGGTATGTCAACACACACACAATCACCTTATTATCCGGGTATATTAACACACACACAATCACCTATTATCGGGTATGTCAACACACATTATGACCTTATTATCCGGGTATGTCAACACACACACAATGACCTTATTGTTATAACACCGGGATATATGTCAACACACACAATGACCTTATTATCCACATGACCTTATCCGGGTATATATCAACACACACACAATGACCTTATTATCCGGGTATATCAACACACGCACAATGACCTTATTATCCGGGTATATTACACAACACAATGACCTTATTATCCCGGTATATTAACACACTCACAATGACCTTATAATGCCAGTATGTCAACACACGCACAATGACCTTATTAACGGGTATGTCAACACACACACAATCACCTTATTATCCGGGTATGTCAACACACGCACAATGACCTTATTATCCATGTACATTTACACACGTGGGTTCACCTTATTATCGGGTATATCAACACACACACAATGATCTTATTATCCGGGTATATCAACACACGCACAATGACTTTATTATCCGGGTATGTCAACACACACACAATCACCTTATTATCCGGGTATATCAACACACGCACAATCGCCTTATTATTCGGGTATCTTAACACACACACAATCACCTTATTATCCGGGTATATCAACACACGCACAATGACCTTATTATCCATGTATATTAACACACGCGGGATCACCTTATTATCTGGGTATGTCAACACACACAATGACCTTATTATCCGGGTATATTAACACACACACAATCACCTTATTATCAAAGTATGTCAACACACACACAATCACCTTATTATCCAAGTATGTCAACACACACACAATCACCTTATTATCCGGGTATATCAACACACACACAATCACCGTATTATCCGGGTATATTAACACACACATAATGACGTTATTATCCGGGTATATGAACACACACACAATGACTTTATTATCCGGTTACATATTAACACACGCGGGGTCACATTATTATCTAGGTATTTTAACACATTCACAATCACCTTTTTCTCCAGGTATGTCAACATCCAGGTGATGTTCCTTTAAAAATACACATAAGTCAGAAAATAAACATGGCTTTGTGGCTATAGTCCAGGGCCTAGATTTTCGAAGCTCTCTTAGCGTTAAGATAGTCGTAGGTTAATATTAATGTATGGCACTTACGACTATCTTAGCGCTAAGAGAGTTTCGAAAATCTAGACCCAGGTATGTATTTGTACATTTTTCGTTCACCTAGGTATGTCCAATTATGCTAACCTGGACAAAAACACCCGTGAGAAAGATTCGCCGGAGATGTATGATGACCTTACAGGCGCCCCCGTATACCAGAACGTCGACCATGCGCAGAATAGTAAGTGAGAGAGTTGGCGGGTGACTTGGGGTTGGGTGGATAAGTGAGTGAGTGAGTTGGTGGATGAGGAGGGGTTGGGTGGATGAGTGAGTGAGTGAGTTGGTGGGTGGGTGAGTAGAGGGTGGTGGATGAGTGAGTGAGAGAGTTGGGTGAGGATATGATGGGAGGATAAATGACTGACTGAGTGGATGTGTTGTTGGTTGAGTAGGTGGTGGCTGGGTGAGTGAGTGAGTTGGTGGGTTATGGTATGGTGAGTGGCTGAATGAGTGACTGAGTGGGTGGGTGAGTAGGGGGTAGTGAGATGAGTGAATGTCATTAGTTGAGTTGTACGCTATTTTTGGCTGTATTTCAGCCATATCAGGGTTGCTAGTTTAATAACGAGTATGGGCACCTACAATTTGTATGCGTTCATTACTGCAAGTACGGAATTGTGCTGATAAAGCCAGAATCACAACCAGAACTAATTAAGATTCGAACCCAGATCATAATTGGTCTGTATTGCCTTAACAAGTAGGGGCACCTGATACAACTCGGCCTCTTCTCTTCATTAGAATGGTAAATAGTCATGCTAGTTATTATTGATGATAATGATGATGATGATGATGATGATGATGATGATGATGATGATGATGATGATGATGACGATGCATTGCAGATTCACCAGGTGCAGCCTCACCCGAGGTTTACATGAACGTCCCTAGTTTGAAAGAAAATGGTAAGCTTGAAACAAACGTCCTTTTCTATTTTCATGGAACAAAGCACAACGCCAATTCATTTGGGCAGAGAGATAATGTACTTGACTTGACTTTGCATGTGTTTGTGACGGGTGCTACTGGCACACAGCTCGTGTCATATCTGTTTTCATAGCGACAGGATCGTGCGGGCAGAATCTCTGACTTGGCTGACGCATGTCATCGTGTCCACATAGAATGATGCTGATGATGTCAGCTAATGAAGTGTCTGGACCAAACTCGGTCAGACCGCTGCCTTCTTGCCGTAACATAGCTAAATACGATGTTCAACAACAAACACACAAATCGCCTAACGCTTTTGACCATTAAAGCTACAATCTTGTGGCAATTCTCAGTGTCTTCACCTGTATAACATACTTGAAGTTCTCTCTTTCTCTCTCATTCCGGACCCGTGCAGATCCGGGTTAGAATATTTATCTTCAGTAACCCATGCTTGTTGTAAGAAGCGACAAACGGGATCGGGTGGTCTGGCTCGCTGACTTGGTTGACACATGTCATCGGTTCCCAATTGCGCAGATCGATTCTCATGCTGCGTATCACTGGATCGTCTGGTCCAGACTCGATTATTTACAGGCCGCCGCCATATTATAAGGGTAATGCTATTTTTGAGGGCATTATCATTTGCAGAAGCCCGAGGTCTTCCATTAACAGTTGAAAAAGACCGAGGGCTTTTGCAAATGTTAATGCCCTCAAACATAGCATTATCGTTATTATTGCTAAAATACATGGCTTTTGTGTTGAAAACAAAAAGGAAACAATGAAGGAATTTGACTGTAAGTTTACCCAAATCAACTTCTGACGGGGTTGACTGCCCGAATGCAATTACGTCATCGAACAATTCAAGTGACGTCACAACAGAAAGTGACGATATTCGACCTTGGCCTTTGACAAGACCATAGCCTGCAACATGTCAAACTATGTCAGTGCTCGGTTTTGGTCCATCAACAGCCTTAATAGTGCAATTATTAAGGTTAGCACCAACAATAAAGCCAGTATTACCGCTATTTAAAGCGGGAATTCGGGTTGCTTTGACTTTTTTTACCCAGAATATCTAACAGTCGAAAGCCAATTAATGTCGAATGAACCGTAAGCCACGCACCCACTATGACGTCAGTTGACAACAGAACTGATGGTGGCCCGTCGTTAACGTTGAGCTGTCCAATATCATTTGCAGCGGCCCGCAAATTTCTGATAATAGAAGGGCCGTTTCATGATAATTCCATGTATTTTAGCTATAAAGCTGGAATATTGCTGAGTGCGGCGTAAAACTAAACTCACTCATTCCGTGTCTGTTTCTTGTCTTCAGAAGAAGAACCTAAACACAAGAAAGAAAAAAATAAGAAAAAGAAGCAAGGGAAATCCAAAGACCAAACCGAGGGTCATGTGAATAAGGCCGCACAGGGTAAAAGTCGTACCATTTTGATAAATGCTTTCCCATATATACTCTCTATATATGCATTTCCATGTGTACTCACATATCTATATATGCATCCCATTATGTATTTATTCTCCCCTTACTGACGTATCTACTCCTACATTTATTCATTGTAAGCTTGTAGATATACACGTACATATTCAACCTGCATTTAAATCTGTGTATAGTAACGAGCATGATAAAGGCCTCAATTTCAAATGGGTTTACGTCTGGAGAAGATGCACAAAATTTCAATACGGTGTTAACGTGGCTGTCACGTAGGCACGTGTGTCCAGCAAGGTACGGGTGTCAACCGCGGTACGGGTGTCAAGTAAGGAATGGGTGTCAACCACGGTACGGGTGTCAAGTAAGGAATTGGTGTCAACCACGGTACGGGTGTCAAGTAAGGAACGGGAGTTAAGCAAGGTAAGGTGTCAAGCAAGGAACAGGTGTCATGTAAGGTACGGTTGTCAAGCAAAGTACGGGTGTCAACCACGGTACGGGTGTCAAGTAAGGAATGGGTGTCAACCACGGTACGGGTGTCAAGTAAGGAACGGGTGTCAACCGCGGTACGAGTGTCAAGTAAGGTACGTGTGTCAAACAAGGTACGTTTGCCAAGTAAGGTACGGGTGTCAAGTATGGAACGGGAGTCAAGCAAGGAACGGGAGTCATGTAAGGTACGGGTGTCAAGCAAAGTACGTCTGTCAAGCAAGGTACGGGTGTCAAGCGAGGTGAGGGTGTCAACCACGGTACGGGTATCAAGTAAGGAACGGGAGTCATGTAAGGTACGGGTGTCAAGCAAAGTACGTGTGTCAAGCAAGGTACGGGTGTCAAGCGAGGAAAGAGTATCAAACAAGGTACGGGTGTCATGCAAGAATACGGTTTCAAACAAGGTACGCGTGTCAAGTAAGGTACGGGTTTCAAGCAAGGTACGGGTGTCAAGCAAGGTATGTGTGTCAAGTAAGGTACGTGTGTCAAGTAAGGTACGTGTGTCAAGTAAAGTACGTGTGTCAAGTAAAGCACGTATGTCAAGTAAGGTACGGGTGTCAAACAAGGTACGGATGTCAATTAAAGTACGTGTGTCAAGTAAAGCACTTGTGTCAAGTAAGGTACGGGTGTCACACAAGGTACGGATGTCAAATAAAGTATGTGTGTCAAGTAAAGCACGTGTGTCAAGTAAGGTACGGGTGTCACACAAGGTACGGATGTCAAATAAAGTACGTGTGTCAAGTAAGGTACGGGTGTCAAACACGGTACGGATGTCAAATAAAGTACTTGCCATCCCAGTGATAGGTATACTAATGTAGATACACTAATATGGAGAAATACTAATGATACATACATGTTTAACACGAGCTTTGTGTGTCTAATGAACCAAGTGTTATCTGTCTTAGAATGATTTCTATGAACATTGACACCAGCCTAACAAATGAACATAATGAACATTTTCTGACACTCTTCAAACATGTCCTTGGTATTTTCCCCTCAACACTGACGGACAAAAGAAAGTACACACCCATTTCTGTTCATTACCCAAAATGAAACCATATACATGTATATGGTTATTCGACGGTGATGCATTCGATGAGGGTATCAGTCTTATTTTAAACCTTCAGCCTGTAGTGTTTTCATCCTTGTCACGTTTCGATAAAGGTTAGTCAAATCCAAGCTTTCAGGTACATACTTTCTATTCCATACTTTACTTTTAATTTACACCAACTCTTCCTGAAAGACTGGTTGAATGTGATATCGACATTGCATGAAATTAACACTGTTTAGGTTGGTTCCTTCACTTCTGTGCATGCTTGGCACAGACATGTTTGTCACGGTAATAGGGGCGGTAGGGTAGCCTAGTGGGTCAAGCTCGTCACGCTGAAGACCCGAGTTCGATTCTCCATATGGGTATAATGCGTGAAGCCTAATTCTGGTGTTCATATTGCTGGCATATTGCTAAAAGTGGCGTAAAACTAAACTCACTTACTCCAGCGCATTGGCCAGTTGCTTCTTATCGTATGTTCTTTCAGGAAATGATTCTGCGCATGTCCAAAATAGGCATCGTCGACGTCATAAACCGAGGCCGGATGCTTACCAAAATACTGAAATACAATCTTATACAGGTTTGGATTGGCGATCTATATAGCATGCATGCTGTTTGCTTACTCTTCTAACCATAATTCTACACGCACGAACGTTAATATACTGACGAACGAAAAAAACTACCTCTCAGTTGATGTTATGGTTGATTTTCAGATTCTCCATATGGGTACAATGCGTTAAGCCTAATTCTGGTGTTCATATTGCTAAAAGTGGCATAAAACTAAACTCACTTACTCCAGCGTATTGGTCAGTTGCTTCTTACCGTATGTGTCCAACCTAACTGTTCTTTCAGGAAATGATTCTGCGCATGTCCAAAATAGGCATCGTCAACATCATAAACCGAGGCCGGATGCTTACCAAAATACTGAAATACGATCTTATACAGGTTTGGAGTGGCGATCTATATAGCACGCATGCTGTTTGCTTACTCTTCTAACCACTTACTCTTCTAACGCACGAACGTTAATATACTGACGAACGAAAAAAACTACCTCTCAGTTGATGTTATGGTTGATTTTCATCTGAAAATATTTTAACTTAGCAATATCATATTCATAAAGCCAACCTCACCTGCACCCAGTCAGCACTGAACGAATAATTCTGCATGCTTTATTAATGAATAGAATTTCACTTAATACTTCAAAATATGCTTTCATTCACACGCTCGACTGTAAGTATCCTAGACGTGATATCAATAAATGTACACTTCAAACATTGGAGTAGGGATGTTGAAATCATTTCCTGCATCACTCTTCAATAAACCAGTACATTCTCACACCGAATTGCTACAGGGAGGACCCGTGATAATCCGAGTAGTTTCACCAACCCATGCTTGTCGTAAAAGGCGACTAACGGGATCGTGTGGTCAGGCTCGCTGACTTTGTTGACACATGTCATCGTATCCCAATTGCGTAGATCGATGCTTATTACGTTGATCACTGGATCGTCTGGTCCGGACTCGATTATTTAAAGACCGCCGCCATATAGCTGGGATTTTGTTGAGTGCGGCGTAAAACAACAAACAACAACTACAGCGATGAGTTATGGGGAAATGTACATATAATATACTCATGCCAATAATGGTTGTCACCCCCCTTCAACTTTTTTAATTATTGGCATGAGTATATTTTACAACACTTGCTTCTATGAACAGTTACAGAGAAATACAATATTCGTATACTTTGGTTTTTATTGTGTTTCCTTGGACATAGCAATCATTTGGATCGGTCATACTCGGTGATATTCCCATTTTACCATAACTATATTTCCCACATAAAGATCTTTGTCCCGAATCACAAAGCGTTCGTAACGTTGCGACCTGTCTTAACTCTATAGTTTTCGTAGCCCTATAGTTTATTATAGGCTTACGAATGTCGTAGTGCTACGAACGTTTTGTGGATCGGGCCCCTGGTCTACTGTCCAATCGTAGTTCTAAGGTGATTGCAAGGCCCCCATATATGATGATGATGATGATGATGATGATGATGATGACGACGACGACGATCTGGAGATTTTACGATCTCCTCATGGAACGGGTTCCAGCTAAATGTTATGATTGTGTTAGGAAAACGTTCATTTGAACCTGAAAATTATTGCACTTTTATAAAGAAGTTAATGTAGAATCTATCCAGTCCATATTCCGGGAGATTGTAGTGTACAGTTTATTGGGGTTCCACTGTATCACGACCCGTGAAGGTACCGGTTAAAATATTGATCTTCAGTAAACCATGCTTGTCGTAAGAGGCGACTAACGGGATCGGGTGGTCAGGCTCGCTGACTTGGTTGACACATGTCATCGGTTCCCACTTGCGGAGATCGATGCTCATGCTGTTGATCACTGGATTGTCTGATCCAGACTCGATTATTTACAGACCGCCGCCATATAGCTGTAATATTAGTGAGTGTGGCGTAAAACTAAACTCACTCACGCACGCACGCACGCACGCACGCACTCCACACATTCCACTCACTCCACTCGCTTCACTGTATCATCATGTCGTTGTTCTTCCGATGCTATATTCCAGCCATTAATCTGTTACGTTTCCATTGCAGAGGAACTCTACGCCAATTCATGATCAACACTGGACGAGAAGAAGATGCCAATTTCTTTCAACGCAGATGCCTGTATTTTCAGTCAATGTAACTATGCAATAATAGATTGACTGACAGTATGCAATACTTGACGTATTATGAACATGTCATAATTCATGAGCTGTCAGCATGACATACCAAATGTCAGTAATAGTGCATGTAACAGTGGGTGTACTGTCCGTATGCAAGAATGATTCAAATGCCGGTATGCAAGAACGTCTGTAATGCCGGTATGTATTAATGGATGCAATGCCGGTATGTATTAATGGATGTAATGCCGGTATGCAAGAACGGCTGTAATGCTGGTATGTATTAATGGATGTTATGCTGGTATGTATTAATGGATGTAATGCCGGTATGCAAGAATGGCTGTAATGCTGGTATGTGTTAATGGATGTAATGCCCCTCTGATGCAAGCATCTGCTTATCATTGGTATCAATACCGAGATCTTTGGCAGTTTAGCTGAAATACTGCTGAGTGTTGCTGACGTTCAGGATTCCGGACGAGACGACAGGTGGCCCAGCAGCTATTCGTAAACCTAAATAGATATGGTTGTCAGACTCGCGGACTCGGTATATCACATGTTTTCCTCTCCCGTGAAGATCCTGGATAGAAATGATCTTCAGTAACCCATGCTTGTCGTAAGAGGCGACTAACGCGATCGGGTGGTCAGGCTCGCTGACTTGGTTGACACATGTCATCGTATCCCAATTGTGTAGGTCGATGTTCATGCTGTTGATCACTGGATTGTCTGATCCAGACTCGATTATTTACAGTCCGCCGCCATAAGTGGCATATTGCTGAGTGCGGCGTTAAACAACAAACAACAACAACAACAATCTTATCCCATTTCTGTGTTTAGATGTCCATGACGTCTGTCACCGGATTGTCTGGTCCAGACTCGATAACTCTCAGGCTGCTGTCTTATTACTCTCTATGCTATCACTGGTGTTAGTCACGGCTTCGTGTGGGTTGCACAAACCCAAATGGTTACCTATAGAGTTCTGTTGTAACGATATATTTGTTACTTGGACAACACACAGCCTGACCCTGAAGCTGTAATAAAATCACACATTTCCTCTAGCTTATCTCAATACCGGAAGCGGAACACACAACCGCCAGTACCGCAGCAATTGTGGTTGAAAATATCTTTGGTTATGTTCAACATAAGTCACCATGTTGAAACATACAGAATATAAAAAAATAAAACATCTATACAATATCATAGAGTCACAGCTGCAAGAAACGTAGAATCGCATTCGACTCACGGTCATGGTTACATAAAAGATGAAGGGTTTTTTTCTTCTTTTTTTCTTTTGTATGCTTTTTTATTTGAGAAATTCGTTTAATTATTTTAATCGAACTTATATATATATGTTTTATCCTATTTCATTTAATCATGCTTTTAGCAACATTTCAAGGAGAACACAGTACAGAGGCGGGGGTGGTGAAAACTTGGCACATTGCTTCCATGTGGTCATGTCGTCCATGGCAACAGATACTTAAAGAGCACCGTCACAGAATTACAATATTACTTCTTGGTTCACAACTTTACTCAATATTTAATCACCTTCCTGGATGTATATTAGCTGGCTTGCTGTCTCATATCAATGTCGATAGAGTGAGTGAGATTGGTTTTACGCCTTTTTTAGCAATATTCCAGCCATACCACGGCGGGAGACACCAGAAATGGGCTTCACACATTGTACCTATGTAGGGAACTACACAATATAACATATCAGTATGCTGTAGTAACACTGAGTGACTGAGTTTGGTTTTACGCCTTTTTTAGCAATATTCCAGCAACGTCACGGCGGGGGACACCAGAAATGGGCTTCACACATTGTACCCATTTGGGGACTCGAACCCGGGTCTTCGGCGTGACGAGCCAACACTTTAACCACTAGGCTACCCGTCGCCTGCTGTAGTAACAGTAACAGGAGCAATGTGTAATAATGTGTTATTCAATGCAACTTTTATATGTATATTGCATGTATATTTTGCAAGAACACGTTCATGACAAAAATTACAAAATGACAATACGTTCATGTCAGCTTTGTAAATATATGCAGATTCATGCTAAGGAAATTGAATATTGTTGTTTGTTATTTTTATACCAATAAAGTGTTTTTGTAACGTATTTACGATTTCTTCATTATTACACAGCTATAAGTTTGGAAACAATCCGTCGGGCACGGTTTTACAAAGCGATCTTAACGCTAAGGAGATCGTAACTGCAATACTTTAACATAGGTTTACGAACATCGCTTTGTGGAACAGAGTCCCGATCCACAACGTGTTCGTAGCGCTGCGATATTCGTAAGCCTGTAATAAAGTGTAGAGTTAAGACAAGTCGTAACTTTACGAACGCTTTGTGGCTCGGGACCAGGGTACCGGGTTCTACTAATTTTATTGTTATCAACTACATCATATCCCTCAGCCCTGGTGAACTCTGAATCTCATTAAAATCACATCAACGTTCTTTCTACGTTAAGCAAGAATGTAAGTCATGTCACGACGAGGTCATGTCAGAGCGACCTTTAAGGGATGATAACAATGTATGGATGAATAACTTCTTCATTACAGTGTGATCGACGTTTCGGTGTAGGTTCTAACACTGTTGTCAAGATGACCACTGTAACAAAGAAGTCGTTCATCCATATATTGTAATCTTCCCTTACCGATCCAACTTCTAAATGCCTCTCAGAGAAGTGTCGAGTTAAGACAGGTCGTAACTCAAATCCAGCAATAACCGACTAAAATGACTAACATGTAGACGACATTAGCCAATAAGAATGCAGCTTTCATAGCGAGTTTTGATAAATTGACTTTCATTCCAGAAAAATGAACCAATGGAAATTCAATATGCCTAATAGATAAAGAAACAAGGTCTCCGTTATTCCCTGTTTTTGAACCTCATGACTTCGGTAACTTTAACCAAACCGGTGAATCAAAAGAAATAATGATTCTGATGAACTTTCATAAATATGGTCTCAATATTTTCAGTTTATTAACCTGATGACTTCGGCTAACCTGTGATATTTTACCTGTGTTTATAGGGAAACCAAGTTGTATTAACAATGTATATCTGCTTACATATATGTATATGCTATGGAATCCTGGAAGGGACGTTGTCGCCCTCTCAAATACAAGCAAAATTAGCCAAAACGCTACACGCGACATCGCGACAACGCGACAAATGGGCGAAATGTCGAGTTGTCGCGATGTCGCGTGTCGCGTGTCGCGTGTCGCGTGTCGGTTTATTTTGCCTTAACTTTACTTGTTTTTGAGAGGGCGACATAGCGACAATGTCCCTTCTCGGATTCCATAATATGCACTTTATATGCTTTGTATACTTGATTTGGGAACAATAAAAAAATATATAAAACTGTCAAATAGATGGCTGTCCAAATGTAAGGTTAGTTTCAAAATAAGCGAGTTGGAGCCGACGACTTTGACGGCATCAATTACACAGCCCGCAGAGGTAGATGGGGCAACCGATGTTGATGTGTCCAAGCTTGCATGAATGGAAGACATACAGGCAGATTTTTTTATTTCAGCTTCAGCTCACTCAAAAGACATGTTTAAACATACATATAAATTATAACATAAAAGTGAGCCACCCTTTAAGGGTTATGGGAGACTATAATATAATATGATACAATGTATTCACTAAAAATGAATAATGATACAGTTATATGAAATCTTATGCATTTAAAATATGTTTTCTTCTTTGTAAAATATAAAAGCAGGTGTTGGCTGTAAATTATACATGGTGTTTACAACGTAAAGCTAATTTATTATCATCACAGAGATCTAATAAGTTGAGATAGCTAAAACAGACATTCTCATATAAATCTTCACACAAATCATCATACACAGGGCAATACAACAGAACATGTCTTTCATCCTCAACACTCTCTGCAATGAAAACATACCCTCTCATTCACATTCACATTTGTATATATGCCGGTTTCCAAATGCAGAGGAGCAGTACCTGATCTGAATTTGGAGAAGGCAGAGCGATATGAACGGGACATACTCACACTCACGTAACTTTCACAGCCATACACATCCTTAAACATTCGATACGTTCGTAGTTTATTGACCCTCATACAACCTTCCGACTGTTCAAACGAAATGATATCAGAAATGAAATTGATTGAAACCAATGCGTGTACTTTCTGTAAAACAAGTGTCGAAACCATAATACACATATTCTATGAATGTCATATTGTCAAAGAGATTTGGAATAATGTTATTGCGTGGATTCAACATAAAACAGGCACACACATTTAGATACGACACAAGTATTATTTGGATACCCTGAGAAAAGAAATGATGTACTCAACAGCATCATAAATATCACAAAATACAATATTTTCAAATCAAGACTAGCGAATAGGCATCCAAATATTTCACATATTAAAAAAGAGGTCGAAATTTCATATAATTTAGATAATTACAACTCGAAGATAAATTGTAATGTACCATCATTTCTACAATTTTGGTCTTCATGCATTAAGTTATTTTGTTGAGATGTTATCTGTTTAGTTTACTTTAAAATCTGTACATTTGGAAGATCAATATCAAAATACCAGGAAATAGTGGACTTTTCTCTGTACATTGTCTTTGTACGAAAAAAATGAAATAAAAAAATAAATAATATATTTCCGACTGTCGCTTTTTCCGTCTTGTAAGCGACGCTCTGATTGGTCGGATGAGAGGTGGAAAATCGCATGGTGACAATCACTTGATTGTCTGGTTCAGACTCGATTTCTTTACAAACAACATCATACAGCTGTAATGCTGCTGATTTCTTCTAAATGTGGAAAGGGTTTTGTCACTTCTTTTCTGACGAGACACTGAATTGGATGTTCTAAGATCATTGTTAAAAATATGATTTCAGTCATTTGACCACTTGGACGCAATGTGACAAGATAGCGGACATATTTGTACATGTACACCGACTGGTTGAATGACCAACACATTCAAACAAACATAGATGGAAACTAACGAACTATTTGATAACCTGTTACATAAGAAATAACAGGAAACTATTAGAACTGCTGCGCCGTTGCTTATCATTATATTAAACAGAATACGAAAGGAGAGTGAGTGAGTAAGTTTATTTTTACGCCGCTTTTAGCAATATTCCAGCAATATCATAGCAGGGGACACCAGAAACAGGCTGCACACATTGTACCCTTGTGGGGAATCGAACTCGCGTCTTCGGCATGATGAGCGAACGCTTTAACCACTAGGCCACCTCATCGTTCCTTAGGATAAGAGAAGTCACGTATCGGATATCTAGCATTAAAGTGAACGGGAGTTATTATATACGACTTGATGGTAAAAACTGATTATATCAATTTGGCTTGAGGCATCTGGCATCTGACTTTGAACCTGGTCGTGGCCCTAATGT